ACTAGAGGCCTGGTGCACAAATTCGTACACAGGTGGGGTCTGGCTGGCCTGCCCCATCAGGGCTGATTGGGGGCGGGGCCGGCCGGGGGAGGGGCTGTGGATGGTTGGCTGGCTGGCCCTGCCCCCTGGTCAAACTCCCGGTTGAGGGGACAATTTGTATATTAGCCTTTTATTATATAGGATTGGTAGAAGTTCTTGTCTGTTCTAGATAACAAGTTCCTTGTCAGAAATAGGCTTTGAAAATATTTCTCCCCATCTGTGGCTTGTCTTCTCATTTTTTAAATGGTGTCGATTGATAAGCAGAAAATGTTAACTTTAATTATGTCCAATATATGTGTTTTTATGATTAGTGCTTTTTGTGTCCTATCAAAGAAATCCTTGCCAACCTCCAGATCATGCAGATCATCTCCTGTTTTCTTTCAAAAAACATTAAAGCGTTAATAGTTTCCAATTGTACATTAAGGTCCATCTATCTCGATTTATTTCTGTGTACGGTGTGAGGTAGAGGTTAAGGTATTGTTGTTTTATAAATATGGATATCCAAATGTTCTATCATCATTTGTGGCAAAAACTTTTCTTTTCACATAGTTTGTTTGTTAGTCTGTGTGTGTGTCTGTGTGTGTGTGTGTGTGTGTGTATGGATGCCTTTGTTCAAAATCAATTGACCATACATATGTGGATCTATTTCAGTACTTTTATTCTATTTCGTTGATTTGTCTATTTTATAAGTGTCTTACTTATTGTGGTTTTATAGTAAGTCTTCAGAACAGATAGTATAAGTCTCCAAAAGTTTCAGGCTATTTTGACAATTTATGCGTGGTCATGTACATTTTATAATCAGTTTGTTAATTTCTACTAAAAGCCTCCTGAAATTTTGATTGGGATTACAGTGAATCTATAGATTAAGTGGGGGAGACTTGATACTTTAGCAATATTAGTTTTTCCAGTCCATAAGCATGTTATATGTTATACGTTTTTATTTGGTATCTTTCTGCAATATATAATAGCTTTTAGAATTTAAGTTTTATAAATCCTTTTTAAAATTTATTTTTGAGTAGTTTATATTTTTCCCAAGATTATAAGTGAATGGCTTTCTAATTTTATTTTCTTATCATTTGCTGGTAAAATAGAAATGTGTTTAAAATTTGTACATTGACCTTGATTCCTCTGACTTTGCTAAATTCACTTTCCAGTTCCTGTGGTTATCTAGTGGTGGTGGTGGTGGTGGTGGTGGGAGATGTTTCTTAAGATGTTTTATGTATACAATCGTGTCATCTTTGCTCTTTTATTGTTAACTTGTGCACTTTTTTATTTCTCACAGTGTTACTGGCGAGGACCCCCAGTATGCTGTTGACAGGGGCGGAGGGGGGGGAGGGTGCACTTTCTCCTGGACTCAGACGCATTCGGTCTTTCTCCATTCACATGTCATTACCTGTTGGTGTTTGTACATGCCCATCACCAGGCTGATGAAATTCCTTTCCTTAGCTTATTTTCAGAAATTTTTCATGAATGGGTGTGAAATATTGTCAAAAGTGTTTTTGCATCATTTGAGATGCTATTGTTTTCTCTTTGATTTTGTTAATGTGATGACTTTATAAGTATTGATTTCATAACGTGAAACCCATCTTGCAATCCTGGCATAAACTCCATTTATAAATGACATTTATCCTTTTCATATAACACCGAATTAGTGTTTTAGCATCACACTGAGGACTTTATATATACTCACGCAGGGTATTGGTCAATAGTTTTCTTTCCTTAAAATGTCTTTGTCAGGTTTTGGTATCAGGGTTATGCTGATTCTAGTTTTTTTCCTTAAAGCGTGGATCGAATTTATGAGCAAAGCCATCTACACCTGGGGTTTTCTTTGTTGTATTTTAATTATGAATTCAATTTTGAAAATACATATGGAGCTATTTGAGTTTTTCTATTTCTTCCTGTATAATTTTGATCAGATATACTTTTCAAGGAATTTGTCCATTTGCTCTAAGCTGTTGAATTTATAGGTAAAAAATCACTAATGTTTTTGTCTTCTTGGGAAATTGAATCCCTTTTCATTAGGTAATAGCCCTTTATCACGGGTATAAATTGTCTGGCCAACTTTAATTTTAATAAAGCTACTTCAGCTTTCTTTTAAATAGTGTCTTGATGGTATATCTTTTTTCATCCTTTTATTTTTAACCAATCTATGTTTTCATGTTTTATTAAAGTGGTATTTCTGAAGGTTGGCTATAGTTGGGTCTTGCTTTTTATCTAATCTAACAATCTATGTTCGATTTAGTGTGGTTTATATTTAATATGATTATTGATATGGTTGAATTAATACCTATCATCTGAACAGCTGTTTTCCATTTGTTCCATTTGGGCTTTATTTTCCCCCCTTTTTGATGAATTGAAAATATAATGACTTAGAAAATACATATGGAGCTATTTGAGTTTTTCTATTTCTTCCTGTATAATTTTGATCAGATATACTTTTCAAGGAATTTGTCCATTTGCTCTAAGCTGTTGAATTTATAGGTAAAAAATCACTAATGTTTTTGTCTTCTTGGGAAATTGAATCCCTTTTCATTAGGTAATAGCCCTTTATCACGGGTATAAATTGTCTGGCCAACTTTAATTTTAATAAAGCTACTTCAGCTTTCTTTTAAATAGTGTCTTGATGGTATATCTTTTTTCATCCTTTTATTTTTAACCAATCTATGTTTTCACGTTTAAAGTGGTATTTCTGTAGGTTGGCTATAGTTGGGTCTTGCTTTTTATCTAATCTAACAATCTATGTTCGATTTAGTGTGGTTTATATTTAATATGATTATTGATATGGTTGAATTAATATCTATCATCTGAACAGCTGTTTTCCATTTGTTCCATTTGTGCATTATTTTTCCCCCTTTTTGATGAATTGAAAATATTTAATGACTTAATGTTATTTCCACTATTGAATTATCATGTATACCTCTTTTGAAAAAATGTAGTATATCCTATTTAATCAAAGTCTACTTTTAAATAATACTCTGTTCCGTGTCTAGAGTGAGGGCAGTAATATATCCCCTATTTCTCCCTCCCACTCCTGTTCTATTGTTGCTGATATTTATTCTTACATATGCTATAAATATACGATCTGCTATTTTACCTTAGATAGGTATCTTTCAAACCAATTAAAAATAATAAAAAATGAATTTTAAACACTTTACTTTTCGTTATTCCTGTCCAGTGCCCTTAATTTCCTTGTGTAGATTCAGATTTCTGTCTGCTGTTATAGTCCTTCTGCCTGAAGATATTTGTTTTAACATTACTTACAGTGTGGGTCTACTGGCAATGAATCACTCAGATTTGGTTTTTTTGTTTGTTTTGGGGTCTTTATTACTCCTTCCTTTTGAAAGATATTTCTGCTGGGTATGGAATTCTGACTTGACAGGTTTTTGTTATTCCTCAGCAACAAAGATATCACTTGATTATCTTCTGTCTTCCATAGTTTCTCCTGAGAAGTCTATTGTAATTTGTATTGTTAATTATTATTCCTCTACATGGAATGTGTTTTCTTTCCACTACCTTCATCATTTTCTCTTTGTCTCTGGTATCCAGCAGTGTGAACATTATGTGCCTATGGTGTGAGGGTCCTTTTGGGAGGGGACATTGATTCTGCTTGATGTTCTTCTAGTGTCCTTTTGATATTTATTTTATATATTTAAATGCCATTTTACAAAGAAGAATCAAGCAAAAAAATGAGTTCACGTGCCACCTCTGACACACATGTCATAGGTTCACCATCACTGTTCTAGTTGTCTTGGAACTGTTGTTTTGTATCTATCATTTTATTTTTGAAAATCCTATGTTATTTCTTCTTATCTTTTTTTTCTGGAATGCCAGTTACACATAGGTTAGATCTTTTGGTTTTGTCCCATATCTCTTAGATGCTCAGTTGTGTTTTTCCTTCATCCTTCCCTTCTACTCAGTAACCGATACCAGAACTGCTGTAAACCCAGGTGTACAGATGGTGGTCTGACAAGTCATTTTGTTATTGTTGTCTCCTTTTAATTCTCCAAATCCTGTGGGTGTATCCCTTTAAAAGATTGTTTCCTGCCATTTTAGTGACCTTGAAAGGGACTGGAAAGAAATGCATGTGTGCAATCTGCCGCCTTTACCTGGAAATCGAGTTCGAATTTCATTATTTAAATTAATCTTAAGTGGTTAAAAAAAGACTAACTTAAGTGGAGATAAGGGCTAAATTTCCTATTATTTTAGAAATTAGTTGGTTTATTATATCTTACTTTCTCATTTTAATGGACTTTTGTATTCTCAAAAACAGAGAAGAATCACAGTAATAATAGCTACATTTATTACACACTGACCATGTGCCAGTGCTGTAAATGCTGCTCTGTATTACCTAATTTAATTCTCACAGCGACTTTATAGTATAAGCATGCTTGTTATCTTTGTTTTTACGATGAGCATAAACTGTGGACCAGAAGGATGAAGTCATTTGTCCAGTGATGCAGAGAGAGAAAGTGGCAGACTTGGCTTCTTAACTACTGTCCTGTATCTAGCTGCCTTCAACCAATGGGAAGATAATGGATTCTAGATCATTTCTTTGCTGTCCTTCATGTATGACTGTTACCTCGCTGAGAATCTTAATACATATTTAATGCCTGTTAGGTGCCCCAAACTATTTTGTTTACAAATACAATAAACGAATAATTATATGGCAGAGCAGTTTCTCTCTCTTCCAAAGAGAAGGACCCCCTCTCCCCCAAATCTGAAAATAAGTTTTACGGAATAGAATGGTATCACCATTCGGACACAGGGAAGCTTGGTTCAATCTGGGTGCTCAGAAACTGTGGAAAATACATACAAAATAATGATGTTATTCAAGAGTTTGGGTAGCTTCCGGATTACCCATACTGCTTTTCACTTCTTCTATACCTCTTTTTTTTTTTTTTGCGTTCTAATTCTTAGCTATTGCACTGCTTATACATATTCCTTCCACAGAGCAGAATAAGAGGGTTATTTATACCATAAGCTCAAAAGATCTGTTCAGAGATTTCAGGAGCTGAGGCCATTTGGGTCCATAAAGAATCTTGACCCAGTGGGGAAACCTGTGACAGAGGTGGGTGCATGCTCCCTCTGTTTCTCTCTCTTGCGTTAGGAATTGTGAGTGACATTGTGTGGGTATCAGAGTGTGTGGGAAGAGGGGGGATGGGAGGGGACTCCCCACTTTTAGAGAATTGCCCTTTACCAAGGATTTATGCTAACGGGGGAACATAGCCACCCCCCCCCCCTTCCACTGAGGATGAGACAATGGGATATGACTCAGTAACGAGTTCTCGTTTGTCAGGTGTCAGCTTGCTGATAATGGTCTAAGGATAAGGCGTTCAGTAATTCTTATAAAAATTGGAAATAACTCTACCATTCACACCGTAGTTTCTCTTATAGTTTCATAGCTGTTTTTATTCCACCCAATTGTACGAGGAGCCTGAAATACGTAGTGTCATTTCTATTTTATAGATGAGTAAGTACCTTCTGAGAAGTGAGATGGCCATGTCCAAGGTCATGCAGCGACAGTATTTGACTTCAGACTTGAACCCAAGTCCTCGCTCTGGACTTACCTTTTGTCCCCCCATGAAGCTAAGCAGCCTGTGTGTTGTACAGAATCCATTTATGTTGACTGTTATGTGTGTTTGCCCACATGCTGGACTCTTAAGCATTAGTATTTATAAGATAAGTTACTGATTGGTCGCAGCGGCTAAAAGAGGCAGCCTGTTTTTTTAAATTAAGCCTTTTGTCTCCTTTTGGTCCAACAGGAAGCGAAGTTGGTCACACGGATGCACCAAGTCCCTCATGATGTCAGTGAGGCTGCATCCACGCTCTGGGTGGAAAGACGCTGAGTCTTCCAGACGCTGGTTGTCCAGAGGAGGCCGAGGTTCTCCTGAGGAAGCTCAAGGTCGTGCTGTTTTAACCAGTCCCCCCCCCCTTCCCTCCATCAGGGTCCAACGGGGCTCAGCAGGAGGAATGGGGGCCCACGCGGTGGGACCGGAAGGGCGGCCTCGCCAGCAGGTGAGGTGTTGACTCCCCTTTCATCTCATTTACACCCCAGGCTGCCACCTGGGTCAGTGCCGCTGATTCTCACGCATGCACTCATGGTCTTTGTTTTGAATGGAGAGAAGCGGGGACATACTGATACCCCGGTAGCTGCAGAGGAAATCTGCCCAACGTGGATCTCTTCCTCCATCATGAATGACATCCATCTCTACAGTCCTCCAAAGGCATCCCTGTGTGCCCGGCTTCCTGCCTGGGTGGGATGACGTCACCTTTATGAATTTCCAGGTGACACTATGTTTCGGGAAGAATTCTCTCCAGAAACCATTTTTAAAATGATCATCAAATTCCTTTAATGAAGAATCAGAAGCCAAACCGGCTAGGCTAAGCGCGCAGCCAACCAGCTGGCACGGGCTGATCGGGTCCCTCCCGGATCCAAACGGTCCGAGAGGAGCGATGAGAGAGCTCGGCGTCCACCCCAAGCCATCCAGGGCGAGGGCACAGCCACGCCAGGGTCTCCCGCATATCCCAGTAGCCTGAGCTGTCCGGTGCATTTCAAAGTACATGAGCCTGTGATCCTTGCCCACAGCCATGCCCTCTGGTGAGAGCGTGATGGTTCCAGGGAACCTGCCCCTGGGCCACACTCTCAATAGCCTCCTTTTGTTCCAACAGTAATAGTTTGAAACAAGCGCTTGAATAGATCATGCACCTTGTCCAAGGTCACCAGCTACTGAATGGCAAGTTAGGACTTGAGCCTACTTGTCGGCCCTCATCCATCTCTTCATTGTCGCTACTGAGATCATGGCTTCCTTGGTGTTACTGTTGGCTCTGGAAAATGTGGGCCCGAGAGAACTCTGAAACATGACATTACACCTCTTCGCCTTCTGGGAGTCTTGTTTAAAAAAGAAACCGGAGGAAGGTTCCATGACTATATCTATCTAGCATTTGGGTACAATATTTACATTTACAAAATGCGTTCCAGTGTAATAGAACAGACAGGTTTTTATTTGGGCATATAATTGTCTTCTCTTTCATATTCATGTATGCCTGTGATTTATATTGTAGTATGTTTTCGATGTGGTCTTCTGAGATCATGTACAATGGTACGAGGGCCACACAACTGCCGCCCTCCCTGCCTTCAGGCCTGAGATCTGGGGGCGCCTTCTCCAGGAGGCCTGCCTGACCACAGATCCCAAAGCCGGGCAGTGGTGTGTCTGGGCGTTCTCTCCCTCTTCCTCTTCAGCGAGCATGCTCTGTTAGGAAACCTGCCGTCCCGGGGTTTGGTGAGAATACATTTTTAAAAAATGATTTGTAAGCTTATATTTTGTCATTGTTCTGCCGTAAAGTTAATGAAGAAGGAATCTCGTTGGTGTGAAGTAAGCTGAAGGCGTGCAGCACACTCCCTGCCTTGTAAGGAATCGGATCGTCACTGTGGAGGGCATGCAAACCCTGGGCAGGGGCAGCGCCTCTCTCTGGTCACCTTGGCAGTGGTTCTCAACCTTCCTAAGGCCGCACCCCTTTCATACAGTTCCTCATGTTGTGGTGACCCCCAACCATAACATTATTTTCGTTGCTACTTCATAACTGTAATTTTGCTACTGTTACGAATCGTAATGTAAATATCTGACATGCAGGATGTATTTTCATGGTTACAAATTGAACATAATTAAAGCATAGTGATTAATCACAAAAACAATATGTAACTATATATGTGTTTTCCGATGGTCTCAGGCGACCCCTGTGAAAGGGTCATTCGACCCTCAAAGGGGTCGCGACCCACAGGTTGAGAACCGCTGCCTTATAGGTTCTAAATAACTTGTGGGTATGATCAGCAGCTTATACAGTCATGTGTCGCCTAATGACAGGGACGCGGTCTGAGAATGTCCCCGCGTGACTCAATTGCACACACTCCCTAGGGACCCCCAGTGGACAGAGGCCGTGCAGAGACATAGCGTATTCAGCCATGGAGCACTGGGGGTTATGTTATTGCCGCAGAGCCTATCCTATCCTGACTACTTCAGGGACTTTCCCCGTGAACGTGCCCCTGCTAACTCCTTAGAACTTTAATTTACCTCCAGCCTGGTAGAGCGGAGAGAAGCAAATTCTTTGCCACACGAAGTGTCGGGCATTACCTGTCTGAGCTCCTCTAAGTCGGTAGACTCAGCGGGAGGGAGAAGAAAAGAGAACTGATACTGACTTCCTGCTCCAGCCGGGCCCGGGGCTGGATGCTGTGGAAGCTGCCAGCTTTAGGCGGGTTTGGTTTTTACATCACAGATGCAGCCGAGCTCAGGAGCCGGCGGATGGCCTGTCTGAGAACCACCTGGCCAGCAGGTGTCAGAGCTGGCACCAGGACACACGTCCCCCTGACGTGGAGAGCCACGTCCTCTCCCTGCAGTGTAAGCAGACAGGTGGTGAGCTTTTAATCCCGCAGAGCCTGTTGGTATTTCACTCCTCACCGTGTTCTCTTTCACACTAACGTCCGTCGGATCACTTTACGATTCAGAGCTACTCCTCGTGGAATTATTTTGTTCATTTCACCCAGACTTGTTTTCACTGAGCCTTGACGCCCAGGGCGCTACAAATCTGCGTGTTTGTTTAAACTCCAACCGAACACGCTTGTGTTTGTTTTAAGTCAGAATATCGTCGCCAAGATATCTGGAAATGCCTCCTCCGTGGCTACAGGCTTTTTTCTTTCTTTTTTTCTTTTTTAAGTGAGATTTGCCCTTAATGGCAAGGACCTTACAGGGATGTAGATGCCGTGGAGAGGGGGCAGGTTTCTGTGCAAAGAGGGGAGCACAAGGGCCACATTCAAGTCACAGGCCTGTGGTCCACGGTGCCTTTTCAGCTGCCATCTCTGTGGCCACAGAACCGTACAACCCGTCTCCTTCAGGGAAGCCCCAATGTCAGCCAGTGGGCCTCACCAAAACACGATGAAATAGCCCCGCAGACCCACAGCTCACCCGTCCGCCCGTCTGTCCGTGCTGGTGGGCTGGTCCCTGGGCTGGTCGAGTGCAGCCATGCCCTCCATGCAGAGGTGGGCGGAGGGCATGCCCCCGCCTGCATCCTCTGGCTCCTGGTGGGACTCCCCCATGAGAACCAGGGTCGTCCTCAAGTGTAACAGTATTAATTATCAAGTCACTTTAAAACACGTGTGATGTATGTGCGCATTTATTCCACAGGAATGGGATAAAGATTAAATACTTAATGAATCCATTTTTCATATCAAGGGTATATTTGCCCTGCGCCTAACTCTATCTCTCTCCCTTCTGTTTCTCATGAGAAATATCGCTATCTTTATTATGTAATCAGTAATATATCATTCCTTCTAAGCAGGATCTAATTTTAGCTGCATGATGAATGGCCCAGGGAAGTGTTCCGCTGCCCTCCGAGGAGAGGAATATACATCAGACCTGCTCAGGTGTGTGTCATTTCTCTATACCTGGGAGCTTTCGGCTCCCCGAGTGGCAGCCTGGATTTTTCTGGCCGAAATCCCCAGGTTCTGCCTCTGTTTTTGTCCTGCGTGGACGGCGTTGGGAAACGGCCCTGTGTGGGCAGTAACCAGGTGTGTGAGCTCCAGGCAGTGAGCTGTGTGCTCTCCTGCGCCTGGGTTTATCGAAGCGGCTAGAAAACGACCAACTGGGCTTTTTTTTCCCCCTTCATTGATGTGCAGGATCTGCTTTTGTAGGACTACACTCAAGTCCCCATCACCGTCTACCATCACTGCCCGCCCCACCCACCTCCAGTTTTGTCTTTCAGTGGTGATGTTTCTTGAAGGTGCAGAATCATCCGGTGTTGACTAGGAACATGAGGACTTGGCAACTTTGTTTTTCTTGAGCTTCCAAGAAGAAAATGTCATTTTCTGTTATGTGGCCTCTGAGTTGCACAGCTGCTTCTGCACATCTGCAGTGCCTGACGTCTTGAGAACATGTTAATCTTAAACACTAGTTTGCACTCATCTTTAATTGATCTGTAGGAGAATCAGAATGGTGCCTTGTCTAATTTCAGATGTGAAAATGGAGGCTCAGAGAGATGAAACCACCTGTTCAAGTTCTGGGACATGGCCCGGTAAGGAATGAAACCTAACACCCCACACCACCCCCTGCCTTTGCTTAACTTCAAATGGCACCTGTATACGAGGGAAGACACTGTTAGGAGTGTTTGGTTTTGCAACAATTATGTGTGTGTGTGTGTGTGTGTGTGTGTGTAATTGATAACACCCTCTATTGTCCACTTTCCCTTCCTATCTAACTTCTTCACTTCATATATACATATCTTCTATATATATATAAAAGCCTAATATGCAAAGTGTCCCCTCGGGAGTTCGACCAACTGGTAGTTCGATCGCTCGCTATGACGTGTGCTGACCACCAGGGGGTGGTGTGGAATAAAGGGAGGCCCCAGCCAGCAGCCTCTAAGGACCCTACCCATGCATGAATTTCGTGCACTGGGCCTCTAGGTCTGAAATTCTTTGTGCAACTATTTTTGTGTGTGTGTGCAACTATTATGTTTGTTGATTTCAACATGTACTTTTTTCTTGCATTAGTATCTCTGAAACTGTGATACATCTTGTAATCAATGGGGTATCATAATCTAATTGGCAGGTTTTCTTTTCTTAGTGGTTACAGCAGATTGATTCTTAAAATGTGCCGAATCCTGACCCTGCTCTGTCTCCATGCCCTGTGCAGTGTCACTTTGCAACTCCTCCCATCCAGCGGTCAAGTCCATGTCTCCTTGCCTTGACAGTGGCCTCATCTTTATTTATTGCTGTCGAGGACGCTATGGGTGCCCAACCCATTCCCTTTTGCCCTGACAGTCAGCCTGCCTGACTTCCGAGTGCACCTGCATTTCTCTGCCCGGGGCTGTCTCCGGCTGCCAGAGCCCGTTCTGCCTGTTGTGATGCCTTAAAAATACGTTCGCAGACACTGACTCTCCTCCCTCCTCTCCCCTTGAATAGAAGCCAGAGTTCATGACTTGAGTTGCTTCTGTCACCGGGATGTGGTGGTATGACAGTGGGACTGTCACGACTCGGCCATGAAAGGCACCGTGGCCCTGCTGCCTCTCAGATCACTCACCTGGCGGAGGGGGCGGGGGCGAGCCATATGCCTCAGAGGACGGACACTCCAGTGATCAAATGGAGAGAGAGGTCTGCATGGGAAGCAACTGAGGCCTCCAGCCAAAGCCTGCACCTGGCCAGCCCCGTGAGTGACCATCCTGAAGCAGATCTTTCAGCTTCAGTCTTCACGTAACAAAAGCCCTGCCAATTCCTAACTGTAACCTTATGAGGAACCCTAAGCCAGAACCAAGTAGCGAAGCTATTCCAAAATTCCTGACCCTTACAGGCAATATGAGATACTAAATATTGTAATAAGCCATGAAGTTGGGGATAATTTATTGCACGTCAGTGTATAAATAAACCCATCCACGTGGCAGGCTGGAAATGCTGGCGGGTTCCCTCTGCAAGCATCCCTGAACCCATGACACGCAGTAGCTTGTATAAATCCCACAGCTTCCCCCCCTCTCCTCCCCCTCCCGGGAGCGCTGAACTCCTAGGGTTTCCCCAGGGGATGAAGTTCCAGGCCCTCAGAACAGCACCTGGGTTGATAACGCCCTTTACCTCCCCCTCCCTTCCCTGCCTCACTTCCTCACTCCCCTGTTGGTGTTTCCTCCCATATGAGTTGCTCCCAAATCCCTGTCACAGAATCTCCTTTTTAAGGGGAATGGGTGATGCAAACAAGGTCAGCTCCGTGCAATCATTGGCCGATTCCTGTGCATTACTCATCACATTTTCTTTCCGTGGCTTCAGCTCCGTAGCACCAGCCCAAGCTGTTGAAAAACAATATAAACAACCACACTCCCACTTTGCACTTATATAAATATAGATGAAAACATATCCTCCTCCCCCAGTTTTTGACAGTTTCACACTTGAAACCGATTATATATATATATATATATATATATATATTTATTCTCTAGTGCCAGCAATAAAGAGGACACTCGAAGTCACGTGGTCACGGGGAGGTGGGATGAAAATGCTCACATGGGAGTCAGGCGGAGGGAGAGGCTGTCGTGGCTGAAGTTCTGTGAGGACAGTTCTGTGGGCTGAGCCCCACAAGTGCCCGGGGCACGAACCCGGCTGCCGCGTAAAGCCGGGGCCCTGCAGTACTTCTCCACCGTCCCCTGAACCCGGGACCACAGGCACCAGCCACTGACCTAGGGCCGTGGTCGGCAAACTGTGGCTCGCAAGCCACATGCGGCTCTTTGGCCCCTTGAGTGTGGCTCTTCCTAAGCCTGAGGAGTACCCTAATTAAGTTAATAACAATGTCCCTACCTATATAGTTTAAGTTTAAAAAAATTGGCTCTCAAAAGAAATTTCAATCATTGTACTGTTGATATTTGGCTCTGTTGACTAATGAGTTTGCCGACCACTGGCCTAGGGGAGTGCAAGAGAGCTCGTCGTTTTTCTGGCCCAGGATAGTAACAGAAATCACAGATAAATAAATAAATACATGAGGAGTCTGTGCCAAAATGGTACAAGGCCTGAATTTCTATTACGTGTGTGCTATGGGGACCCACAACTAAGAAATGAACCTAAAATCTTGCCCAGAATTGGCCAAGCTCAAAATACTCCCACGGGGACGCTCTAGAGCAGCGGTCGCCAACCTTTGGGACCTCACGGTTGCCAACTGCTGCTCCAGAGCATGTGAAGTTTCTGTGGACGGCCCTTTCTCTCTCATCTTCAGAAAGAAGAGTTAGCATGAAGAAAAGAGAACAGGGAAGAAAAGAAAAAAAAAATACAGAGGGCACCAGTAGACAAAACAAATGGGAGAATTTTCATCCCAAGAACTGGAAATAATAGCACAATCTAAAAAAGACTTTAAAATAGGTGTTCTAAAACATTCCAAAACATAAAGGCAGTAATAGTAATCACAAAGCAACTAACACAATTATCTGAAAACAGTTGGGAAAAATTCTAAGAATAAAAAGTAGAGTAATAGAAGCGAAAACCAAATGGATAAGTTAGGCTATAAAGTAGATATTGCTGATGAGACAATACGTGAATTGGAAGACAGATCTGAGGAAATCACCTAGAATATAACACCAAAGATAAAGAGATAGAATATATGAAATTGATCAAATCATAAGGTCCTACATATGTTTACTAAGAGTTCCAAATGGGGAAAAAATAGAGCCCGAGGCAAAGAGATAACAGTCAAGAATTTTTATTACGTAGCACATGAGTCTTCAAATTGAAGCACACCAGGTTCCATGTTGCATAATTAAAAGCAAACCCGGTTTTCATCACGGTAGTTCAACTCCAGAGTCTCCACCCTAAAAACCCTCCGAGAGGGGGAAAAAAAACCCAACCCCAAAATTACCTACAAATGGACGACAATTAGACCGACAAGCATACCCCCCCAAAGCAGCAGTCGCCGGCGGAATATGGCGCGTTATGTTACAGGTGTAGTTATAAATGCCGGGAATGATGCATTTAAGTTTCTGAGATAAAACCTATTGCTCCAGAGTGAAAATAAAGTCGATTTCAGGTATCAAAAGGCTCTTTCGGCCAGTAGCACATGAAGACTCGCCTCATGTGAAAAGGGAAATAAGTGTGCCGTGTGAAGCACCCGGTACAGGACATGGCACAGAGGGAAAGCGCTCGGTAACGTATAATGGGGGTTATTATCGGCTAAAATGTATAAACCCGGGCCATGCGTGAGCTAACCCAGCTCTCTCCCATCCACATTGCCAGCCCGTGACAGAATGGCATTTTTCTACCTTCTAGAAAACGTGTAACCGCCATGGTATCTGTATTCACCCATAAAATGCAAACCTGCCCATGCTGGTTTGGCTCAGTGGATAGAGCGTCGGCCTGTGGACTGAAGGGTCCCAGGTTCAATTCCAGTCAAGGGCACATGCCTGGGTTGCGAGCTCGATCCCCAGTAGGGGGAGTGCGGGAGACAGCCAATCAATAGTTCTCTCATTATTATTGTTTCTATCTCTCTCCCTCTCCCTTCCTCTGTGAAATCAATAAAACATATATTAGAAAAAAATGCAAGCCTAATGACCTATGTCTTTTCCTACAGAATGCGTAAGGCCTGCTGAGCGGTCTCCACTTCCCAGTCCCCGACACAGGGACGGCAGTGGCAGAGGTTGAGATGGAGCCGCTGTCAGCCTGGCTTTCTAAATGACCAGGCTGAGCAGAGCTCCCCTGCACCCCAAGTGGACACATAAAATGGGCGAGAAGCACGCTTTTGCTGTGTTCAGACCCCTGAGATTTCACAGTTGTTTGTTCCTGCAGCAAAACCTACCCTATCCTGACTAATAGTGTGCATCGAAAGTCAAAATATTTTTTCCTTGTAGGAAAAAACAAAAAAACAAAAAAAAATGACCTAAAGCCAGGCCTTAGAACTCACTGGGTCTTACTTACAAACACTTCTGTTCCACTTGCTTATGTGTTTTTCCATCTCACAGAACGTTAGAAGCAAAATACTTGAAGAGATGCCGGCGGAGGGAGGCACTGCTCCCAGCGAGAAGGAAAAGGTGGGCTCTGACCCCAGCGGACTGACTGTAAAAGGAAAAGTGGCGAAAACCATGAAAAAGCAGACAAGGAGCTAAAAAGGCGTGATGATCGCCGGCCGGCCGTCTATGGCAGGTAGGGTTCGCGGTGCTCACTGAGAAGCCTGTGAGCACATCTCAGCATCTGAGCCAGGCCCTTGCGGGTATTCTAGTTTCATTGCACGTTCATCTTGCTTATTCGTTTTATTTGATTGGACCAGTGGTTCTCAACCTGTGGGTCGCGACCCCTTTAGCGGTCGAACGACCCTTTCACAGGGGTCGCCTAAGACCCTCCTGCGTATCAGATATTTACATGACAATTCATCACAGTAGCAACATGACAGTGATGAAGTAACAATGAAAATAATTTTATGGTTGGGTCACCACATGAGGAACTGTATTTAAAGAGCCAGAAGGTTGAGAACCACTGGGTTAGACATTTAGGTTTTGAAGACACACTTTTTAACACTCACTCTCTCCCAGGCATCGTGCTGGCTGAATATTTTAAATCTGAGGCAAGCCCCTCACCCCTCCCAGCATGGCTCCGAGGCAGCGGGTTCTACCCCATCCCTGTGGGTGGGAACACAGCACCCCTCAGAGACGTGGACCCCACCCCCCCGGGCTTCGGGGCCCTACAGCAGCAGCGGCAGCTGCGAACCCCGCCTGCGTGGTTTCCAGGCTCGCGTGCATTAGCAGAAGGCCATGGGGTGACCCTCACGGAAGGCTCCATTCTGTTTCAGAGAAGCCTGCTGAGGAAGGCTGGGCAACATGTGTGACATTTGGGAAAATTTTCTATCAAAAAAAAAAAAAGATTCAATTTTCACAAGTGCTGGTGCTTCAAAGGGTCTCAGTGTGGGTTATCGGGAGGAGCACATGTGGGAAGCAGCTCTCTCCCATCCCTCCATCAATGAGAGTGTCTTGAATTTCAATGATCTTATAAATGCAACGTGAGTGATAAATTATAACTCTATTAAAGCTGTTTCATTTAGAAGATGGAATCTATTCTCTGACCATGTCACTTTTTTTTTTTTTTTTTTTTTACGGCATCTTTCCAACAGAAATATTTGCTGGCCATCCCCGAGTCCCTTCCTGGGTTCTTTACAAGGTGAGGAGGAAGGACCAGGGGTGGGTGGGGGAGGGCCGGCGGGAAGGGGAAGCCGGCCGCGCTGTCCAAATGGTTGCCAGAGAGGCCGGGCCTCCATTTATTTCATCTCCCTAGTTGTTTCCTTATGGGACGGACAGCTGCTGACTCCGGGGTCTTCGCCGGGAACGAAAGAGCGAGGACCAGGAAGGTGAGAACTCAGAGGCGGTGGTGGAGGCCTTCGACGGCATCGCGCTCCTCACGGGGGCTCTGCTCGCCTGCCCTGGACACCCACGGTCCCCCGCACCCCCCACGCAAGATTCCCCTGGAAACATGATGTTCGTCTTTACTTTGGGATGACCATCCCGCAGGCAGATGAACACATCTGTCCTAGAACTGGAGCCCTGCAACTGCAACGTGACGCTGGCCATCGCAGTTCCCAGGAGGGGCCCCGAGGACACAGGCTCCCTGTCCCCAGGCTGGGCTCTGGGCCCCCGCCAGGGCGGGTTCAGATATGCCAGGAGGGGGACCGGGCGGGGGGGGGGAGCTGGGGGCAACGCTTACTATCAGGCTGCTTCTGACAATGCCTAATGTAACCCATACACTACACATACATTCTAGTTACACAATTTATGAGGTATAACAAGGGGAGAGAAGTGAAGCGGGCTTATAATTGTGACTGATGTGAAACAGACATGTAGAATGAATGGCCTTACAACATTTTCTTTGAAGTTGGTTAAAAGCAGTAAAGTGATATTCGCCGTAAGTGAAACCTGCTGTGGCAGATCCCCACTGGCGTGGGGGACGTTTTTCCTGTGGACTCTATTTCTTGAATTTTAATCCGCCACTCGGAGGGTTTGAAAAGGTTTCTTTCGCTGCGCGGTGGGAGGGAGAGAGAGAGGATGCACACTGTGGAACACCTACTACGTGCCCGTCCCGTGTCAAGCTCGTGGCCCCAGGGAGCCCCAGTGGGTGCAGCGCCTAGTGCCCACGGGAATGTTTTCATTTGAATGTCTTGGAAAGCCAGAAGAAAGCAATGAATATACTGATACGATACCACATTAATTAATTCCCATGATAAAATTAAAATAATGATAATGAACATAACAAGGAATCCGGTCTGGACTGTGTTTGCTCTCTGCTATTTTTTTTTTATGGGAAAAGGGCCCACAGGGCAGGGGACTGAGGGCCCGCAGACCGCACAGTGTGGCCCTGGGTGATAGACACTATCTCACTGGTTCTCCCCGGCGACTGTGAAAGGCAGGAAGGCACGGGGAGGGTGACCCTTCAGAGACTTCAGGAATTTCCGAAGGACGAGGGAGAGCCAGGTCTGAAGGCGATTGTCTGACTCCTCCCACGGGAGAAGAGCTTCATGTTCAGGCAGTTCTATATGGGAACACCTGCCTGAGGCCTGCAGAACGCCATCTGGACATTTGTTACCGAAGAAATGAATGGAAAGTCCATTCTGAGGTGGCCGTGTGTTTATCCCAAGAATATAGGAAGATGTCTAGAAACGTACGCCACTCAGATGTCCCCCAAGTCTACCTGCTTCAAGGCCAGGATTGTCTTTAACATTCACGTAACCCAGGCCTTGTCCTTGGAGCCATCGTCTTCCCTCTCTTCCTCCTGGGGTCTCTGTGTTCCCCTAACCAGCCCTGGTTCACACTGACCGTCTCCACTAATAACCTCTCACCTGGTTATGAAAGTCACTTTTGGGGCAGGTTGCCACAGCTTTCTCCTCCCGGGGATGCAGGCCCCCCCCGCCCCCGCCCTGGTTCCCCAAAGCACAACTAAGACTCAGCTGGGAAACCCACCAGGTTTCCCTGAAGTCTTGGGGGGTATCAGTAGCATAACACAGAGGGCAACCTATGGCTGATACCTGGGCTGGCCAAGTGTCTCAGCCAAGACTAAGGGGCCCCGGCTGGGAATTGAGCTTTTTTTCTCGTCAACAGTGTTACTTGAGGACCTGCTGTATAATAAATACCATTGGACTGTATCCTTAAAAAGCACAAATTCTCTCATGTGAATTATATCTCAATAAAGACTAATCTATAATGACAGACTGAGCAATGGTTGCCTCAGAGTCGGGGTGTGGAGGGGGATGGGCAGAAAAAGAAGAAGGAATTTTCTGGCATGATAGAAATGTTTCCAATTTGTGAGGGGTGTGAGCTGTATGGCTGTATGAATTTTTCAAAACTCATCTGACTATAACAGATAAGATCTGTGCACTTCACAGGTAAGTTTGGTCTCAACAACAACAAAAAATAAAAGGCAAAAAAAGTATCTTAGCAAAATTGGAATTGAATACTTTAGGTATGATAATTTTTATCATATACAAGGTGTCCCCCCAAAATGCATACACACTTTATCTGCTGAGATAGCTCAATTTTGAAAATGAAATGCATTTGAATAAACACTGCCTTTAAAATTATTCAAAGTATGTGTATACATTTTTGGAACACCCTATATATAATTTAAAACCAATAGTCAACCACTTGCTCACTCCTGAACCCACTAGAATCATGTCATTGCAGTTGGAACTAAGACCAACATGCCCTGTTTTGGGTGATCCGTGTTCACAAGGTTCTGCAGGTGCTTGCCAGTGTAATTAGTGAAAGTAAGAACTGAGGAGTCCTCCTTAGGAAAGAGGTGGCAGAAATACCGTTATTTACGTTATTGAAGTTGTCTACCTGGACAACTGAAGAAACACTGAGAATTGTTAGAACAAAGAGGGCTCACCATCCTAATTGCGAAACCAATAGCTTTCCCATCTATAATAATAAAAGCGTAATATGCTAATTAGACCGTACCATCAAATGACCTTTTGGTTGAAGCCGGGTCTGCGAGGGCTGAGCTCCTTGCACGGATTTTGTGCATCGGGCCGCTAGAATAAGAATAAACAAACATTATTTAGAAAATATAATGGCTAAAACAATTCCGTGTAAAAAATTAACAAACACACAAAATGCCTAAGACCAATATAAAGAAAGTTATTGCTGGCCAGCATTGCTCAGTGGTTGAGTGTTGACCTCTGAACCAGGAGGTCATGGTTCAATTCCTGGTCAGGGCACATGCCCAGACTGCAGGCTCGATCCCCAGTGTGGGGTGTGCAGGCGGCAGCCAATCCATGATTCTCTCTTCATTGATATTTTTATTTCCCTCTCCCTCTCCCTTCCTTGCTGAAATCAATAAGAATATTTTTTTTTAAAGAAAGTTATTAAACTCTCCCGAGGAGCACAAAAAGAACTTCAGTAATTCAAGGGAGCATGTCATCTCTTCACGGATGCACTCAATATTATAAAGGTTTTTCATGGAACTTGAAACAAAAAGATTAAAATGAGCATGGGGGTGTAAATGTGCAGGCATGGTCAGAGGAAGAAGGAGAAGGAGTGTGAACTGTCTTCTCCCAGGTGTAAGAATTCATTCATTAAAGTGGGTACAGAACCGAACCAGGAAGAGGGAGGCCTCCGTGGAGCCAAACAAAGACCAAGCATCGCTATGGATTGGGACAAAGTAAAGGTCACATTGAAATAATTAGAGGAAGACTGGATTGTGCACCAAATAATGTTGGCAGTTGCCTGAAGTTAGTTCCTGAGGAAGCCACGTTGGTTGCCTGCAGCCCAGTCCTTCTATCCTGCCCGGTAACAGCCCCCGCTCCAGAGAAGAGCAGCTTGTCCAGGGCACCAGCAGCCAGGCTTCCAGAAGGATTTCAGCTCAGCCGGGTCAGCATTGAGTAATCGCTGCATCAGGAGGGCTCTTTCTCTCTCGTTCCTGTTTCCCTTTTGTTCAGAGATTCCAGGGGATTCTCCCCGCTGAAGCTCCTGGCGAGGCCTGGATCCCGTGCTCCCCCTGTGGCGGGGGGGAAAGGGCGAGGTCTGAGTCATGCAAAATACCTGGAAGGCATTGTTTACCACACAGTGATTCTGTGGCCAGAAGCTGGAGGAGGACAGCTAAAGGGCAACACCAGGGACGTTCACTAACCTGTGTCAAGAGTCCTCCCAAATCGATAAGAACCAGTCTTCTCAAAAGAATGTGAAGAGCTGTGAAGAGCCATCCTCAAGGATAATTGACTTTTCCTGGGCCCTAGTCTTTTCTATTTCCGCCCGGAATGCTTTCCAAGGTTGTTGTTGGCTAATTTGACAAATGGTGCTGTAATAATTTATCACAAGACACTAATATATTATAAAGAGCTTGCTGTTTTCTTAAGTAACACGTAGAATATAGAGACCTTCTGATGACAAGGTTTTCATTCACAGCAGTGTCTCTCCTTGTGAGAATATGAGGTCTGATGAGGGGGATTCAGTCCCTCGGGCAAAATGAATGCTCAGATATTTCACTGGAGTTCAGAGGCCTGTCTTCTTTCATCTTTGAAAAGTAAGGGAGGGCCTTGTTCTTACGGTTTTTCTTAAATAACCTATAATTTTGCAGCGATTTGATGGGCATGTTTTTTAAGTGTATTTAGGGACCTGACCTTTACTGATTTTTTTTTTGTTGTTTTAAATTTGGTTTGTCTCATTGAAAGAAAAATTAGATTGTTACTTTTATGTTTTACATACATTTTTATAATTATGCATTTTTTTACCTAGTAGATTTCATGTCATTGCTTTTAAAAAATATATATCCTGTATGTGTTAGAGCTGTATGAGAGGATTCATAGCAGATAAAAGTTTAATGTTTGGGTAAATGGTGCATTCCTATGAACTCAGAATCCTAAAACCCACAAAGCACAATTCTTTGGCTTTTATAAATATTGTGTATTATTTTTATGAGAGATGGGGGTTGAGGAGAGAGTGGGAAGGAATGATGGAGGGAGAGAGAGAGATTGAGAACACCCATAGCAGGGAGTTAACTCAAGCCCCCCCCCCCCCAGGTTGTATTCCATTGACCATATCTCTCTAATAAAAGCCCAGCGACCATTACGGCAGATAGACCAGAACGACCGGTCGACCAGTTGCTATGATGCCCACTGACCACCAGGGGCCAGATGCTCAATTCAGGAGGAGGGCGAGGGGGGCGCAGTGAAGCCTGGAGGCACATGCTATGGCCTAGGGATACCAGGAACCGCAAGCCCAGAGCTTGCTTTCCAATGAAAAAAATAAATTAGAAAAAAAAAAAAA